ATTGTGCACGAGAGCCAAGGCTCCCCTGGGTCTCATATCTCCTCATTGGCTGAAACACAGCATTGGCTCCCATTGCTATCAATCACAGCCATTGAGGAGGGAACAGGGGGCAGGACTGAGCCATGCTCTGTGTGTACTATAGACACACAGAGGTGGCTCAGGAGTGAGCATGCATGAGTGCCCCCAGAGCAAGAAGCTTGCTGTGTGGGCCTTCAGCAGGGGGGAGGGGCCAGAAGCATCAGGGGGGGGACCCGAGAAGAACAGGAGGGGCTGCTCTGTGCAAAACCATTTCACACATCAGGTAAGTATGATGTGTTTATTATTTTAAAGAAAGAAAAAAAAATTATATCCACTTTAAAGCACATCTAAACCCAAAACAAAAATGTAGTATATTGCAGCTTACCAGTCTTTAGATATGGTAGCTGCATTCAATTTTTGCTGTAATTTAGGCTATTTACCCTTTATTTTCACCGGGTGATTTTATCAGTAACACAATCCCTGTCCTGGGGTGACAACGCTCACTCTCCATACTATATAAAGGCAAGAGAAACAGAATAGGACTACTGGATTCTCCCAGTTTCCTCTTGGCAGTAAACATAAATGGGTGGGGTCCTGTAGTCCTTAGAACATTATGACTGGTAAGAGTGCAGCACAGGCAGAGAGCACAAGTAGTTATCAAATTACACATTTTCTAAAAAAGTTAGTAAGCTAGCTAGTTAGCTATGTTTTGCACATAGGTATAACAAAAAGCTTTCAGTGGTATATTTAACAGACTAAAAGGGGAAAATAGGAGAAATTCATTGTTGGGGTTTATATACCCTTAGACGATTTTCCTACTGCCACATTGTAAAAAAAAAAAACAATCATTGTGTCAATTAAATATTCTTGATGAAGCTGTCATTAAACAGTTTGCATCACAAACTAAAGTCACAGAGCTGATCCAAGTGGCTCTGTGCCTTGTGATCCCTGTCCCCCATGATCAATCACAACTATCACAAATCTAAACACAGCGAGAGCTCACCCCTCCCTCCTCTGCCATTGTTCCTCCCTATCCTCTTCATTCTTCCTGAGCTGGTGCTTCTCCTTGCTGGTCCTGTAAGTCAAACTACTCCCAATGACCACCATTAAAGTGGAGGCACACTGATCCTCTAGGGGGGGGGGGGCATGATAATTTATATTGAGCACAGTAAGGAGGCACGCTGGAGGCATGTGAACTTAAAGGGGCATGCTGACCACTAAAGGTATAGGGGGAAAACACCACTGACACCACTGTTATGGAGCACACACCACTGACCACCAATATTTAAAGGGGCACTCACCACCAACCGCCACCATAATGTTTGGGTGGGGGGGGGGGGGGGCTAACTCCTGACCACAGAAATCTGCAAACTGTTTAGTGCATTACATAGTCCTCACCAGGAGCGGACTGACAACTCATGGGGCCCCCGGGCAATCCCCCGGGCAATAGGGATCATGGGGCCCCGTGTCCTTGCCAAAACTCAAAAAAGCCTATAAAAAAGGTACCAGGGGCATCTCATGGGGCCCCTACTGACCCCGGGCCCTCGGGCAGTGCCCTAGTTTCCAAATGGTCAGTCTGCCCCTGGTCCTCACACTTGCTTTTTGGTTCCTGCACTGTATTCACTGTGTCCTGATCTAATCAATTTCAAGGGCACGTGAGAGCCTTAAGAAATTTTTGGTCTATTTTGTTTCTATAATAAAAAGAAAAAGTGGTTATTAATTATCACCAAAATAAGCTCTATCTGTCTTAAAAAATAATAGAAAATGAATTTGGGTATAGTGTTTCATGATGGAGTAATTGTTAGTCAAACTATCACAGTACTGAATACTGAAAACTTGCCTGAATGGGTATAAACAGACTGGTACTCATGTAGTTAAGTGAGTAGGAATTTGGGGGGGAGGGAAATCATATATCCAACCCCTTACAGACCCCTAATCTATTCACCATAGTGCATTGAAGCTTACAAAATATAACAATCCTCCCTCTTCCCATGTAAACAAATGTATTAAAATAATTCCTCAAAAAACAAGTCCAAAGAATCTTTTTTGTTCATCTGCCTTATGTCAGTTCTTAATTCAAGGATCCTATCATGGGCTACATTCAGGAAAGCAGAGCTCTCTATATCTGTACTCCATGATGACTCATTCTAATTGAGCTTTCTAGCATATGTACTGTGGGTTCTTGGGGGATTTCCATAGTCCTTGCTATCAAAGGTAATTGGCTAAATGGTTCACTTGTGGTTATATTGTTTATTTAGACAAGTGCATTAAACAATTCCCCAGAACTCAGCCCTGCCAGTGAACAAATGGGACATAATTAAACCTGCTTCTAATACTTTGATAAAATAGAGGTCTTAGTTTCATATATTTGTGTAGCCCTCTTTTGAAGGAGTTATGACAAATGACCCTCCCCAAACAGGATATGGCTCTAAACTTGTAGGTAAAGAAGAGAACCAGAACCTTCACTAGGTGAAAATGTGGGTTTGATAATAAAGTAGGCAGTGACTCCACCCAGGACAGGGCCTCTGTGAGCAGAGGGGATTCCCTTCCTGGGAAATGAACCAGAAATCTAATCAAAGTAATTGTGACCAGAGTAACTACTACAACCAGCATATAACATTAACCATAAGTATATAGATGCACACCAGTATGGAAATATTACTAGCTTTATATAAGAAAAGATTAATAATAGTAACATACATCCAATGTACAGGTATTACAGGTATTTTCAGCCCAGGGCCCAAGAGTCCTGGAGGAATTGTGCACATATGCTTGGATATATATAGTTATTAAAAGAGATATCCCCAGATAATTGTTGCAGCAAAGTTCATTTGAAGAGGCCCATGAGGATAATTGATATGTGGCCTCTGTCTTTGTGTCAGAGACCTGAGGAGAAGATCAGTGGTGATGTGGAGATCCTTCAATTGCTGTCCAACCAGCCTGAAAGGCAGCTTCTCACATGCAGAAACTGTTGTGTGGCACTGGAACTCAGAGTCAGCCTATCTACTCTGCTTTTTAGTCCCTGGTAGTTTTTAATCTGACATGCAACCAGACTTCTAACTACCAGAAGTGGCTATCAGATGCTTAACCTGGCTCTTTCCTATCTGGTTACTGAGCCCTAAGCTAAAACTAGCTATAGAATCCTAGACCTGAAGGGAAAGGGTTAACTTAAATAAGAGGAGCTGCATATAAACTCTATTGCAATAAATAAGTTCAACTAGTAATATACTGGAAGGTGACCACTACACACATACAGTAGCACAGACCTAGCTGTCTGGCACTATGCATGTAATAACAACAGGGCAGAGATACTGGGGAAGATTTTACTAAAGCTGGAGAGTCCAAAATCAGACTCCCTTCTGCATAGAAACCAATCAGCTTCCAGGTTTCATTGCCAAAGCTTCATTGAACAAGCTGAGGTTAGAAGATGATTGGTTTCTATGCAGAAGGGAGTCTGATTTTGGACTCTCCAGCTTTAGTAAATAAACCCCACTGTGTCACAAGGATTCAGCTACACACACACAAAAAGCTATAGGCAGCTGCAGTTAAACTTTTTAGAACATAGCAATACCTTTTGGCCTGGAGCTAGCAGCATGGACAGGTTATGTGACTGAGCCTTTCTCTCTCTCTCTCTCTCTCTCTCTCTCTCTCTCTCTCTCTCTCTCTCTCTCTCTCTCTCTCTCTCTCTCTCTCTCCACTTCCTCCTTCTGTCTTTTTTAACCAGTTCAGCACCAAGCCTATTATTACACTCCTCTCCTACATGTAAAAATGCTAGAAAATTACTTAGAACCCCCAAACATCATATATATATATTTTTAAGCATAGGCCCTAGAAAATAAAATGGTGGGTTTTGCTATTTTTTTTATCTCACACAGTATTTGCTTAGTGGTTTTTTTCAAGCACAATTTTTTAAAAAATACACTTTAATACATTTTAATGTACAAAAACACAATATAATTCCCAATTGATTAATAAACTTTAAAAGATGATGTTACGCTGAGTAAATTGATACCCTAATATGTCACGCTTAAAAATGATGCATGCTTGTGGAATGGCGACAAACTACAGTACAGTACAGTACTTAAAAATCTCCATAGGGGACGCTTTAAAAGCCTTTACAGGTGGAGTTGCACTGCACTGGATAAAATGGTGAATTTCAGTTAAAACTTGTATTGCTGTTCATTGACATGGTATGCAAAATAACAAAAAAAAAAAACATGTTTTCACCTTCATTTCATACTTTGTTGCATCTCAGTCCCACTGCCATCCTGCAGCCTCATTGCAGTCACTTATTGTCTACATACATGAACTCCAATGATTGCTGCATGGCAGGTCTTAAGCTGGCCATAGATGGATTGAATCTCGGCCGGGTTCAGCAGGGACCAACTGAGATTTGATCCATCGATTGACTTGAGTACAACCAGCATGTTGGATTTTTATCATGTGATTATTACCAATAGCTATAGCCGCTAGCAATAGTCTTTGTGTTCTCTCGGCAAGGACGGCTCCCTGTGCCTTTCCGCTGGGAGAACAAAATAGCTCCACGAGGGATTCCCCCATCAACACTGACTGTGGTGATGGAGGAATCAAGCAATTTTCCTTCTTGCAACCCACAGTTGCAGGAAATAAAATTGCATAATCTATGGCCTTCCTCAGCTTTAGGGTGAGTTTTCTAAAGGTGGCAATGCAGGAGAACAATGGGGGGGAAGCAGGGCCAGAACATTGCCACCCTTTAACCACTTGCCCTCCAGAGGATTTACCCCCCTTCCTGATCAGATATTTGTTATGCATTACGGCACTGCATTACTTTGAGCTTTCTTTGGTGGTACTTGATCGGCTGTACGTTTTTCATTTTTTTTGCGCTATAAAAAAAAAAGACCGACAGTATTGAGAAAAAAAACAATATTTTTAACTTTTTGCATTATTATGTCCAGTAAAAAAAATTTAAAAAATCAAATTTCGTCATAAATTTAGGCCAAAATGTATTCTGCTACATGTCTTTGCAAAACAAAAATTCCAATACGTGTAAATGAATTGATTTTCGTGAAATTTATAGCGTTTGCAAATGGCAGTGTATATATACTGGGTTTTTTTTGTTTGTTTTTTTAATTTTATTTTTACTAGTAATGGCGGCGATCAGCGATTTATAGCGGGGACTGCAGGACTGCGGCGGGAATTCTGACATTGGGGGGAACTGACTTGGTGTCACTGACATCCCCAGTGACACCAGTACAGTGATCAGTGCCAATAAAAAGCAGTGACACTGTACTAATGGCACTGGGCAGGAAGGGTGTTAACATGTGTGGGGCGATTAAAAAGGGTTAACTGTGTGCCGTTTTACATGATGTTCTGTGTTTTTGCTTCACTGTAAGCACACTGCTTTGCATGGCTGTGCACAGCCATCCAAAGCAGTTGTGTGCATGAGCTGACAGGGAGGAGAATGAACTGTATTGTTTACATACAGTTCTCTTCCCCGTCAGAGATGCTCAGCAATCACCGGGCGCCGGCGAGTACACAGCCATGCAAAGCAGTGCGCAGGAACTGATAGGGGAGAGAACGGTTTTGCAAAATCACATACTGTGAAGGAAATAAGTATTTGATCCCCTGATATGATTTTGAATGTTTGCCCACTCACAAAGAAATGATCAGTCTAAAAAATCGAATGGTATGTGTATTGTAACACTGAGAGACAGAATAGCAACACAAAATTCAAAAGAAAAAAGCATGTCTAATAAAATTATGCACTGATTTGCTA